GGTGTGGTGGCCTCGCGTGCGGCCGTAGGTGAGGCGCTTCCTCAGGAAGGGGGGGCAGGAGGGGTCGCAGCCCTGCGCGGGGCTGTGTCGGGGTGCGGGCAGAGCCTCGCCACCGGTGAGCGTGAGGAGGCGGACTGGATCTGTGAGGAGGCTGTGGGGTGGATGTCACCTGGAGGGAGCCCACCTGGCAGATGCTCGGGCTGTACATTTTCACGCAGGCTGGATGTTTATTACTTAAACGGACGTTTTACTTAATTTTTTAGTTTGTGGTGCAGTAACCTATCAGTACTTGTATTTGCTACCTTTGTGTTTGCTTTTTTTCTTTCTTTATAAACTTGGTCTAAAAAGACCCAGTGTGCAGGAGCCATGGGTTTGTCTGCATCCTCCCCGGCTGCTGCGGGTCAGTCGCCGAGTGCATCCAAGTACCATCAGACGGCGACTCCACCTTCAGAATGTCCCATGCATCAGGAAAAAATGAGCGGTAATTATCCTTGAGGCTTAAGTGAAATAAACTTGTCACATGGAAAATAGATTGGAAAGTATTTGGCAGAAACCCAGAAATGACTCTATAGATAGCAACCTGAGTTTTTCTTCAATAAAAGTAGCTGTTGAGTAACCTTCATAAAAAGGAGTCAGTTGGTCACCAGAACAGCGTGCAAGCTGCTATGTCTGTAGAGGCAGTGGGTGCTTGCTGTGGAACCTGTGGCTCTGTCCCAGTTGTCACGTTACACAAGGGTCCTGCAGATCCGTTCCCATCATGGGAGAGGTCCCACAGAGGATATAGGAGGTGCAGGGGCCCCTTGGAAGATGGATACTGGGAGCAGGTGGTTTTCACTAGAGAATGTGCATCTGGAAAAGGGTGGCAGAAGGGTGGGATAAGGTGAGTATCTGGAAAAGGGGAACATCAGCTCTTCCATTGACACAGTCAGCACATGTTGGATGAACATTACTGTGGAAATCTTAGCTACAGACAGCTCAGTATAGGGGCCAGCATGGGTCAGGGAATGAGCATTCAAGGACTACATAAGAATCTTAGATCTTACTGTGGTGCTGGGTCCGAAGATAGGCAGGAAAGAGAATAGTTAAAACTGTTGTAAAGCTTAGAAGAAAAAGTGAAATACCAGTTTGTATTTACATAAACTGTTCATTGAACTGTTTCCTATTTCCTGCCATGTCTTAGGGTCATAACTTTTTAGCAAAATATATTCTATTCTTTTCTCTATTTCAGGCTGTCCAATGCACATGAAGACTCCGGATCGTAGAACTGAGAACACAGATGATGTTCCTGCACATCAAGACAGAGCATATGAATTCGTAGCATGTCCGATGAAGTCTGGTGCATCTCAAGGGCAAGATGACATAGATCCCAGCAATATGGTAACTTGCCTATTTCATATATTTTCTTCAGTCTTTCCTCTCCTGAACTATTATTCCCAAAATCTAAATAGTGATTCTAATTATCTCTACCAATTAACACTTTAAAAAAAGATTTAACACTGTTTTTTCTCATTTTGAGTGCAAATATTGGGATAAAAACACGTTACATTTCATTTAACATTCTCTTCTTCGAATTTGGATCTTTGTGATAAAAGGTGGTTTTCCAGTTTGTAAATACCTTTTGCTGTCTGTTTGTATTTGTTAGTTACATGCCTGGTTTTTATGCCACATTAGTGGTTCCTAGGTACTGTGTAATAGTGGTATGGATAAGTTCTGATACAGATCTCTCCAAGATTTCCTCTGAATTACAAAAAGGACTATTGTGCAAATAGTTTTACTGCAGAATAGAAAGATAATTTTAGTGGACTTTATATATAAAGTCTGGTCTTCTTGATCGTTGTAGCAGCTGATTCATTATGCTTTGATATTTGTCAAGCACTGTAAC